TAGACAGGGCACCCCGCAGGGTGAATACCCACCAGGCCTTCCCAAGCCTGCTCCAAGCACCCACAGCTACCTCAGCCATGTGGGCTGACAGTGTTTTTGGCCTTGTGGCCAACCTCAAAGGCCGATCCTGCACGGGACAAGGGAAAACATTTTTTCCTGGACAGACCCAAATGCTCCAGATTGCTCTGAATGGCTGCCCAGCTCTTACCACTGCTTGGTGTCACATCAGCATCACCTGTAACTTTTCTACTACCAGTGGTTTTAGGCTTGCTTTGAGAGCACTGGCAAAAACATTGTGGCAGGTTCGGTGCAGTGCCAATCTGTGGAGCATCCCACCAGATGCAGCCCAGCCCATGACCACTCCCCATTCCCCGCTGCCCCTCACAGCCCACCAGTGAGCCAGCACTTCATCCATTTAATGCACATTTAATGTTCATTTAACCTTCATGCTGCAGACTGAAGAAGCCACAGAGCCCTGAAGTACTTTATAAGATTTTGCTATATTTGTGCAGTTAACTTTTTTTGAGCCAAACTTTTAGCTTAAAACAAGATGAGCACATTTGCTTACTAAGACAAATTAAACACTGAGCTGTTAAAGTACACACGTAAGTACATGGTATTACAATGTGTGGACAGGGTAAAGACTGGTAAAACACCCATGACCAAGGAGCATAGGTTTGAAACACGGGCAAAGTATCACAGAATATTTTGTTTGTTCCACATCTTCGTCTCTGATAAGGGGGCTATGACTTGATGTCTGATCAATGGCAGGAATTTTCCTGTTGGCCTCAATGTACAGGGAGGTATGAGTAGTGCAGATCACACAAAAGGTGAAGAGCAAAGGCAAAGAGCGGCAGCCCTGCAGGTGGGGGACACTGCAGCAGAGCAGGAGAGGAGTGTCCTCGCAGGCTCTTGGGGCAGGAGTGCCATATGGCAGCTAGAGCTTACTGGAGGAGCAAGAGGCACAGGCATGGTTGTACACTCAGTGGAGACAGAGAGCAGATAGCGAGTGTTAACGCAGATCTCCCTTGCTAGCATTTTCAGCTGGAATGACCAGAAGGGAAGCTGGAAAAAGGACCAAGTGCAGCACAGAGCAGAGCACTCTGCTATGAATGAGAGGTAAAAGACAGTGCATTTTGCAGAGCTGGGCATAGAGCATAGTCTATAAAATCCTCGTTTAGTGTTTATCAGGCTC